TCATGATACTAATTCGAACAATATCTCCCTGTAGAACATGTTGCGAATACATGTGTCTCCGTGCGCGACTACTACTGCTACAAGTTCCAGATGCGGCCAGGGATATTTAATCCAATACTCTATGGCCGACGTCTTTTCCAGCAATTTGCCGTCGACACCTACATCAAGATTGAGAGCTCACGTTTAGACTACATGAGGAACAATCAAGATACATTGAGGGCTAACCTATACTAAGGCCTGGTGGACATCATGCATTCAGGTGAAGGATCTGCTGAGAATGTCGGAAGGCGTACTGTCCTGTCTTCGTCATTCATCGGAGGACCCCGTGATATGAGGCGCTGATACATGGATGCAATGGCTCTGGTGTGAAAGTATGGTAAACCTGATATCTTCCTCACAATGACGTGCAACCCTAACTGGGATGAGATCAAGAATGAACTTTATCCAGGCCAGACACCACAGGACCGCCCAGATCTCGTCACTCGGGTCTTTAGAGCAAAGTTAGAGGCAATGAGGAAAATGTTGATGGAGAAAGACATACTTGGGAAGGTGAAGGCCTACGTATATGTAGTGGAGTTCCAGAAGAGAGGCTTGCCGCATGCACACTTCTTGCTGATAATGGAACGGAAGTACAAGCTCACATGTCCCGAGCAATATGACATGATTATCAGTGCAGAGCTACCAAACAAGAAGTACCCTGACCTCTACAAGATGGTGATGAAGCATATGATGCATGGTCCCTATGGGACGCTAAATCCATATTGTTCGTGCACGGTGGGCTGCGGGTCATGCAAGAACCGTTACCCGCGCCCATTCTGTGAGGCAACGTCATAGGGAAAGGATTCGTACCCCATCTATCGGCGACGCAATGATGGCCGCACGCTAAAAGTTCAAGGCCATTACCTAGAAAATCAATGGGTCATGCCTTACAACCCTTGCCTGCTACGTACCTTCAACTGCCATATCAATGTTGAGGCATGTGGGAGCATTAAATCAGTAAAGTATCTATTCAAATACATATACAAGGGATATGACAGGGCATCGGTGGTGATGAGAGAGACCGACAAAGCAGACAAGAAAGGGAACATTGATGAGATCAAGCAGTATAGAGATGCTCGGTGGGTGACGCCTCCAGAAGCACTATGGAGAATATATGGATTTGACTTGAGCAAGAACCATCCACCAGTACAGTAGCTATAGCTTCATCTACCTGACATGCACATGGTGGCATTTCATAAACGGGATAAGGTCGAACGGATCGTTAATAGGCCAGGTGTAGAAGAGTCAATGCTGACAGCATACTTCGATGCAAACAGGCATCATGAGGAAGCCCGCAGAATCATGTATCGGGATTTCCTGGAGCATTTTACCTAGCAGTCTGATGGTAAATTCTAGCAGAAAAGGAAAAACTCCGTTTTTCAAGTTGAAAGAGTCATCTCGGCTCATCCTGCTGAGGGAGAACGTTACTTTCTTCATGTTCTCTTGAATAATGTTGCTGGTGCTACCTCATACGAACATCTGAGGACGGTTGATGGCGTGCTACTACCTTCGTTCCGTGAAGCTACAGAAAGGAGGGGTCTAATCGAAGAAGACAATACACTAGATGAATGTCTAACTGAAGCTACTTTATTCTAGATGCCTTCCTCTATGCGGAGGCTATTTGCAACAATATTGGTATTCTGTGAGCCGCATGATGTGATGGGGTTGTGGAAAAAACACTACGATGCAATGTCAGAGGACTATAGCCGCAATCATCCATCCCCGGATCTGGTGCAACAATTGGTTTTGATAGACATTAGAAACATGTCGCAGTCTATGGGGAAGGACATAAGGTCATTTCCTCTTCTAGATATTGATCACTCATACGACGATGCCAGCCATATTTCTTGTGAGATATTTGAGGAAGCTAGCGTCAAGAAGAATCCCAAAGATGTGCTATTGTGTGACTCACTCAACGCCGAGCAAAGGTCTGCCTATGGTGAGATAATGGCTGCTGTCTGCAGCAAACAAGACGGGTTGTTCTTTGTGGATGGACCTGGTGGGACGGGAATGACATTTTTGTATAGGGCACTTCTCGCAAAACTACGCAGCCAAGACAAGCTTGCCATGGCTACAGCTACATCTAGAGTTGCAGCAGCCATAATGCCAGGCGGGAGGACGGCCCACTCGCGTTTCAAGATACCCCTCACTCTTCAAGAGGGCGGTTGCTGTAGCTTCACGAAACAGAGTGGTACTGCCAAGTTGCTGCAACAAGCAGCTCTCATAATTTGGGACGAGGCATCTATGACAAAGAGGCAAAATGTGGAAGCACTAGACAACAGCCTATGAGATATAATGGGCCGGTCAAATCTATCATTTGGTGGGAAGACTGTTGTCCTTGGTGGGGATTTCAGACAGGTCCTCCCTATTGTGTGGAAAGGATCTAGAGCTCAAATAGTCGGTGCTTCTCTACGAAGGTCGTATCTTTGGGAATCCATGTGCCACCTAAAGCTCGTTCGCAACATGAGGGCTCAGAGTGACCCGTGGTTTGCAGATTATCTGTTGCGCATTGGTGGTGGAACGGAAGAGGTTAACGGAGATGGCAATGTACGTATTCCAGACGAGATATGTGTCCCACACTCTTGCAATGCCGAGAAAGATTTTCATACATTGATCGACATCATCTTTCCAGATCTAAATGCAAACATGGCGGACAAAGACTACATCACCACCAGAGCGATTTTATCTACACATAACGATTGGGTGGACATGATCAATATGAAAATGATTGATATGTTTCAGGGCGGCGAGACGGTGTATCATAGTTTTGACTCCACGGTAGATGATCCATATAACTACTATCCATCGGAGTTCCTTAACAGTTTGACCCCCAACGGGCTGCCTCCACACGTCTTGAAGTTCAATATTGGGTGTCTTATCATATTGCTTAGGAATATTGACCCTATCAATGGGCTATGCAACGGTACAAGGCTAGTGGTGTGGGGGTTCTGAAGAAATACAATCGACGCGGAAATTGTGGTGGGACAGCATGCTGGGAAGCGGGTATTCCTTTCTCGAATACCGCTATGCCCGTCTTATGATGAGATGTTCCCGTTCCAGTTTAAGAGGAAGCAGTTTCCTATCAGGCTGAACTTTGCCATGACGGTCAACAAGTCATAGGGCCAAACTATCCCGAATGTGGGTGTGTACCTACCCGCACCGATGTTCTCTCACGGTCAGTTGTACGTTGCGATGTCTAGAGCCACGTCAAGAACCAATATTAAGATCCTTGCCATCCCGCCTGATGCGGAGGCACAAGAGGAGGAGGCCAAAAAGACAGAGAAGAAAAATGCTAAAAAGAACGCCGAGGGAAAAAATGAGAATGCGTCCAATAAAAAAGATAAGGATAAGAAGACCCCAACAGCAGATGGAACTTTCATGAAGAATATTGTATTTAAGGAGGTTCTAACGCCATAGGCGAGGTAACAAAACATTACTAACGCATACAATGCATTTTTTCCATTCAATTTATATTGTACAAATAATATCTCACTAATGCCATATTTATTGTCGTTCCTAGGTATTTTTAAATGGTTTATCAGACTCTACACGGAGATGTTGTATATACACTTGTGTGATGGCATAATAAAAATTGAACATGTGTTATATTATTGTTATAAAAATGACACTTTGAGTGTTTTGTTCATAATATTTCGTTTTGTAACCATTCATAATTATTACACGTGTATGTTCTCAAAACCATGAGTTTTGTCGACTTTCCCCACTTTTCTCATGTGCCAATGTGGGATCAACCGAATTAGCATCTGCATAATTACAAACATAAATTACTTAAATAAAACTAACGAAGCAAATTAACGATAATAATGAACAATAGTGCTAAACAACACCGTACCAGTGATCGTGGGATGGCACGATCGTAGTGACGTTGGTTCCGCGCATTCAGGAGGATAGCTCCTTTGTATTTCCCTTTGTTGTACTAGGGTCATTAGTTTGTGAGCACGAAAGAAGTGGATATCGGAGATTTCTTCCTGCCAATATAAAACATTATTTTAGCCATATCACGAAAATATCTATAAAGTAGAGTTTGTGAGCCTGCGACGCCGCACACTCCATGACTATGTTAAATTCATAAACTTTGTATTTTGGATTAAATGTCACTTTAACGTTGGTATTTAATTTTTTACAGTATTGTTATCTTACCATGCGATCCGTGTGTTTTTAATACAAAATGTTAGCTATCTCGTAGCAATGCACGGGCACACTACCTAGTCTAACCTAACCTTCAATCGAGGAGTGGTAGAATTACATTTTTACTTTTTTCATTTATTTAAATTAAACTGTCCCTCTAAAAATTATTAGACCCCACCTTGAAGAAACGGACACCTATTCGTATATCCACAACTTGAGGCATCACTCCACCAGTGATGAAAAAAGAACAAGAAAACGAAAAAATTGATGGCTCTTGTACCATCTTGCTTTCACGGGCCAGCGCGCATGACACATCCTCATCATCTCAAGGATCAACGACCAAACTTGTTTTGCTTCCTGTTTTTCAGGGATCTAACTCTGGACCGACATCACTTGTGTAGTGTGAGAAGCGACGTTGGCTCTTTTTCCAATACAAAATTGACGACCCAGGTATAAAAAACAAAATTTTAAAATCTAAATAAAGAAAGTAAAAGAATTTCTATGAATTTATTTTCCATTTATTTACTTTGTTTTTTTCAAATGAAATTGTAACTGTTTCCAAAAAATATTAATTTGGATCCACTCTCGTTTGTTCTACCTCTGTCCATGCCAAATATTCACATTTTAAATTTTTACATATAGTCTTGCGTAGATGACAAACAATTGTCGCTCTTATTAATCCGTTGCATTCTTTTTTTTCACATTAAATACGGAGTACTAATCAGGACTCCTCTCTCACTGGGCGCGTAGCAGGTGCGCCGCCGGCCGATCCATGCACTCCACCTCTCCTGTCTCCTCCCACCACAGCAGGCATGTTGCGCGGGGTAAGGCCTGGCCGCCGCACGTGCGTGGAGCTGGAGCGGATAATCGTCGAGAGTCACCGCTCTGGGAGCCTCGGCCGAGAGGACGCGCTCGACCTGTTCGATGAATTGCTTCCTCAGGCCAGGCCCGCCTCGGTGCACGCCTTCAACCGTGTCCTCACCGTCGTCGCTCGCGCGGACTCCTCGTCGCCACTGCGTCACAGCGCTGCGCTCGCCGTGTCTCTTTTCAATACCATGGCCCGGGCTGGCGTCAATAAGGTGGCCGCCAACATTTGCACCTTTGGCATCCTCATCCGTTGCTTCTCTACTGTCGGCCGCGTGGACCTCGCCTTTGCTGCCTTTGGCCAGGTCATCAAGATGGGATGGAGGGAGCAGGTCATGGCCCTCAACCAGCTAATCAAGGGTCTCTGTGATGGCAAGATGACGAGCGACGTAATGGATATAGTGTTCAGACGAATGCCGAAGCTTGGCTGCACACCTGATGTTTTCTCCTATAACATTCTCATCAAGGGGCTCTGCGCCGGGAAGAAGAGTCAAGAGGCTCTTGAGCTGCTTCTTCACATGACGGCCGATGGCGGATACAATTGCCCTCCCAATGTGGTGTCATATAACACGGTCATCAATGGCTTATTTAAAGAAGGTGAGGTCGACAAAGCTTACATCCTGTTTCATGAAATGCTGGGTCGGGGGTTTGCACCTGATCTTGTGACATATAGCTCAATCATTGATGGCCTATGCAAGGCTCAAGCAATGGACAAGGCTGAAGCAGTCCTACAACAGATGTTTGATAAAGGTGTTATGCCAGATATTTGGTCATATAATAGTTTGATCCATGGGTATTGCTCTTTAGGACAGTTGGAAGAGGCAGTGAGACTGCTCAAAAACATGTCTGGAGGTGGTCTTCAACCGAATGTTGTCACTTATAATCTGCTGATAGACTATTATTGCAAGATTGGAAGATGCACAGAAGCTAGGAATATCTTTGATTCAATGGTCCGGAGGGGTCAAAAACCCAATGTTACCACCTACTGCAATATGCTTCATGGGAACGCCACAAAAGGAGCTCTTGCTGATATGCATGATCTCCTTGATTTGATGATTCGAGACGGAATTCTCTTTGAACATCGTGTCTTCAACATCCTGATACGTGCATACGCTAAACATGAAACGGTGGATAAGGCGATGGCTGCATTTATAGATATGCGACAGAAAGGTTTGAGGCCAGATGTAGTCAACTACAACACGGTAATTGACATTCTTTGCAAGACAGGCAGAGTGGAGGATGCCGTGTGCCATTTCAATCAGATGGTAAGTGAAGGGCTGTCTCCTGATATCATAAGTTTTAACTCACTAATACAAGGTCTCTGTACCGTTGGTGAATGGAAGAAGGTTGAGGAACTTGCTTTTGAAATGATCAATAGGGGCATCCATCCCGATGCCAGATTCATGAACACAATAATGGATACCCTATGCAAGGAAGGAAGGGTTGTGGAAGCACAGGATTTCTTTGATCTAGTTATACGCACTGGTGTGAAACCAGATGTTGTTTCATATAATATACTGATAGATGGATATTGCTTAGATGGGAAGATGGATGAATCGGTTAAGCTACTTGATCGTATGGTCTCCATTGGCTTGCGACCTGACATTGTGACCTATAGTGCTTTGTTTAATGGCTACTGTAAGAATGGAAGGGTTGATGATGCACTAGCACTTTACAGAGAAATGTTTAGCAAGGATGTTAAACCTGATGCTATTACATATAACATAATGTTGCACGGGCTATTTCAGGCTCGGAGGATTGTTGCTGCAAGGGAATTCTACATGAAAATGGTTGACAGCGGAACACAGTTGGGAATCAACACATACAACATAGTTCTTGGAGGACTCTGTGAAAATAGTTGTGTTGATGAAGCGTTGAGAATTTTTGACGGCTTGCGTTCAAAAGAATTTCAGATTGAGGTTTGGACTTTCAATATAATGATTAATGCCTTGCTGAAAGTTGATAGGATTGATGAAGCTAAGGGCCTGTTTTCGGCTATCGTGCTCAGTGGTCCTGTGCCTGATGTAATAACCTACAACTTAATGATCGAAAGTCATATAAAAGAAGGTTTGTTAGAAGAGTCTGATGAGCTTTTTCTATCTATGGAGAAGAATGGCTGTGCTGCCGACTCACGTGTGCTAAATGCCATAGTTAGAAGACTACTTGAAAAAGGAGATGTGAGAAGGGCTGGAACCTACCTTACCAAAATTGATGAGAAGAACTTCTCCCTTGAAGCTTCAACCGCTGCATTGCTGATTTCTATTGTTTCAGAGAGGAAGTATCAGAAAGAAGTGAAGTTTCTTCCTAAAAAATACCAATCTTTCATGGGACATAGGGATGATTGATACCTTTTCCTGGTTTTACTGTGCTAAATTACTAACTGAGAGTACATGGTCTCTTGTCCTGTAAAGGTTATATTTGCATGGTGCCACCTCTTGCAACCTTTTATAAATTACATTGAATCTAGATTCCAGAGAAGTGCCAACTGTCTTACAACTGAATTTTATTCAACATTGATATTCCAATGGGTTATCGTGTTTATCTAAGGTTCATAATTTTTAAAACTCTTTTATTCAAGATTAAAATTGCATATTCATCCTCAATGGGAATATCAAATTATTTTTTATTCTCCCCTGTTGTGGGCTTCTAACATGGAGGGATTTGCTACTGGAGCTTTGAGGGCTTTGTTGTTACTTCTCTATTGGACATGTTTGTTTTATGGTATTAAGCTTGCCACCAAATCCACCATTGCTGCATGGATACTTAAAACATTCAGATCTGTTGATTCTAAAGGGAATGGATACTTAAGACCGAAGTTGACTTGAGTAGAGGCAATAAAAGGAGACATGAAAGGATGAAATATACCCAAAGATTTAGCCTTAGATAGGAGTGCTTGGAAAACAGCTATTCACGTGCCTGAATCTTGATTGTTTCTTCTGGGTTTCAACTCTAGCCTACCCCAACTTGTTTAGGACCTAAAGGCTTTGTTGTTGTTGTTGTTGTTGTTGGATGCCACAGACGAAGAAACTGTTGTATGCAATTCTCACAATTTGTTTTTCTCTTTTTCTTCTTGGCATGATGGTTCTGTGAGCTTCCTGAATACTTCATCGTGCCTAGCATTTTTCTGCAGTTCGAAGATCCACAATGACAAACTTGAGCTGCTCCAAACTGGACAAATATGTACATTATACTAGGACATCAAAGACAGCAGACAGTTCCACATGCACCAAACTAAAGATTCAAATGGGTGAACAACTTTGTCAAAAGTTAAAAGGATTGCAAAAATAGGATCAGTGAGGAATGGGATGGACATACTTATAGTCACAGGTCAGCTCCTCCCCTATCTTTATGTCACGAAGTGCGAAAATTCCAACCCTGGTCTCTCCATCAACAGTCCTGAAATAACATGATGCTAGTGTCATGTATCATGTACATCAATGGAGATCATGGAAGTAGAGCATATATAGAGTATAACTAACCATTTCTGCATCTTTGTGTTTGGTTCACAACTATGGTTTATAAATCGGGACAGGTTTCCCTTGTTTGTTGCATCGATGACCATATTACTACTGACCTCACAAAGGTAGAAGTCAGTGTCATTCAGCCTTTTCATTGTCCATAGCCTATTTCTCACATGTTATGTCATCAATAACTAAAAGCATATGGATGTCAGTTTGATTGTTTAGCATCCAATGGAAGAAATACATCATAACATATATGCCTCTAGGCAATTTATTTACTTGCTCATAGTACATTTAAACAAAACCATACCTTCTCCAACATACTCAATAACAAATTCTCCTTTCTTTATTTCATCCTCAGCAACCAATCCATGACCACATTTCTCTGTCTGGAATAAAATAATTGTCTTTCAGGAACTAACAAAATGTGAAATCCTTCATTTAACAAGTAGTCCTAGTAAGAAGACAACAAAAGGCATCGTACAGAAAAAGCAACAACATAAGGAAAATCATTATTGTTAAATGATATAAAACAAATGGTAAAGCTATTATAATGAAACTATTAAAATAAATTTTACTACAATATAATTACAACAATTGTCCAAAAAATGCAACCAGTCATGGGTATGATTGGTAGCTTGCAGTAGTCTCGCCTGCATTAGGCCTTATGCAGCGCAAATCGAACCAGCATAAGCATATGTAATGTGTTTGTGTTGGTTTGCCATGTACAACAAGTTGCGTTTAGTAATACTATGTTTGGTTGCTTACATTGTGTTGCTAACAAGGAAATCTTCATGAGCATTTGTGTTTTAAGCAGGAGTGCATCAGAAACATGGTAGTCAGAGCCCGAAACCAAGCATTCAATAATTCGGAATTCTTAAATTTAGCTTTTAGGATTATTACAAAAGTCACCTGTCGATGCAGTGAGCCTAGAAGGCAAATCATGAATTGCAATCGATATGGTTTTGGGTTGAATTGGTCAGTGCATGCAGCTCAATATGGTATCAGGGTAGAGGTGTCGAGTTAGATTCCTAGCTGATTGTGCTAGGTCCTATTCCAACATTTGAGGCTTGAGACAACATCCAGGTGACGTGAGGGGGAGTGTTGAAATATAAGTCAATTGTCCACCCTCGTCAGCTTAAGCTTTAGGTGCAACTGTTTGGGATAGTTATTTCTTTTACCACATTTAGTAGTGGGTACTCTCCAGATGCTTGAGTTGTTGGTGTATGCAAGCCAATAGTGTCAAATTCTTAACTATCCCCAAAAATTGGAAATAGATTATGCCTATTGATAGGTAGGCTTTGTCAGGGTAGTAGAATCTGGTTAAGACCCACCATATTATTTCTGACATCATAGATTACAGAGCATCTTTTTATTTAGTAGCCATATATTTCTAATCTTGTTTTACTGTGCTACCATTCCAACAGATAGAGTAATCAACAATCACCTTTTAGCACATAGAGCATCCCACTTAACACAGGAAATACAGATTTTCTACAGAAGGCTCAACACAGTAAAGATCTAAACATAGGCTATATTAATATAACAATCATTGCATTGTACCACCAGCAAATGCATTGATTGCTCACATCATTTGTCCCTGAATAACCATCCCTTTTGAATTAAATAATTATGAAAACTTGAATCAATCTCACAGCAACGATCTTACCTTAATCAATTTGGTTTTGTTAAGAGGTCTGTGCTGGAATGATTTATTGGTGCACGCGTTATCACATTCACATTGTGATGAACAGCAAGAGAAGAGCATGCTGCATCAGCAAAGTTTCAGCATGTAAGAATACCTCAATAATGATAAAACTCACAGGTGTAATAATCCAATAGCTCACAGATTCACATGTTTTTTGTATCCAGTTTTTATAAATAAATATAGAAAAGGAAGAACTGATTACAGAATTAAGCAGTACCAATGCTCTAGTGTATGTTACAAGTTTGTGTACGTGTGTCCACAAACGAATATCATACTGAACTTACCCACAATGGCAGTCTCTGCCACACACAACTGATGAACCAGGAGAAGGCTTAGAGCGACAAGAAATGCCATAATCTTCAACGCGTCTCTTAGTGCAATATACATCTTAGTAGAATTAAGGACAATAAAAATGTGGACATGTCCATAAAAAGGCACATATTCAAATTCACCAAAGTAGAGTAATATTTCCATTCTCCTTTTTAACTCAGAAGCTAGAAAAAAATAATTTGACTCCACTCGCAATAAGAAAAAAAGAAGAACCATATGACATTAAGACACATCCCTGAGGTAATCACAATATTGTATTACTAGTTTCCTTCCTGCACTGATTTCTACTTCAGGCAAGGACTATGTAATGTAGTCAAGTTACAGGATCTGTTGGATGAAACACTAACTCGACTGATAAAAAAGAGGCATAGAATAGAAAGTTTCAATATGACAAGAACATGTCAGAATATGGTACTTTGATGACAGATAGTAGGAATTAAATGAGGCAAATGTGCAAATAAATTATCTTGAGAAAAACAATACTCCTATTGATAGGACTTGATGCCCTACAAGCGATAAATTGGGCCTCTAAGCCCCTTAATAGACCAGCCCCCTAGCCACTATTGGGCCTGCGCCTGGCATAGGGGATGCCGGTCATAACATCTATATTACAGCAAAGGTTCAAAATGCTAGTTGGTAAGGATACTCCGCTTGATTGGTTCATAGCGGCCTAACACGTTCAATTGTTTCAAAAAGGGCCGCGGATCAAAATCTACAGGTTCTATCTTGCAGATCAGTTGCTCAAAAACATTCTCGATTTGCTGCGGTACAAAAGTAAAAGATAGACAAGTGAGAGATATTCCCAAGTAGGAGCATAAGTAACTTAGTAGAACTTAGAGTCTTAAGGCATGGCGCCCTCCCCACCCGGCTGCGCCCATTCTCACCCCGACGGCCATGGCGCTCCTCGCCCCTGGTGGCGATGGTGCTCGCGCGCAGCCGCTCACCGCCGTGTCCGACCCCGACGACCGAATCAACCGGCCTAGCCTTCCCCTCTCCTATGTTGCATATGTATGTTTCAAATGTTTCAGGCATTTCAGATGTATGTTGCAAAAGTAGATCGGAGGATGTTGCACATGTTACATATGTTGCAAGTGTTTCAAAAGTATGTTGCAAGCGTTTGTTCAAAATATTTCATCTGTTTCCAGACGTATGTTGCAATCGTTTTGATCTGAATGTTGCATATGTTTTCACACATATGTTGCAACAATATATTCCAAAATATTTCATCTGTTCCAGTCTTATGTTGCAGCAAGTGTTTTCATGTTGCAAGTTGCAAGTGTTCTAGTAGGATGCAGGATGTTGCATATGTTTTCACACATATGTTTGCAAGTGTTTTTCATGTGTATTTGCGAGTGTTTCAGACATATGTTTTTGAATGTTTCAGTTGTTTCGTACGTATGTTGCAAGTGTTTCATCTGTATGTTTCAAAAGTAGATCGAAGTGTTATGTATGTTGCAATGTGAGGCACCTGCCGCAGCCTCATGCTGCAGCTGCTAGGGCGCCATGCATGGAGGGGAGCGATGCAGCAGGTGCTAGCGCGGGCGTTGCAGTGAAGCGTGTGGGAGCGACGTGAGTGGGCGCCGCCTCTACGTGCAGCAGGCGTTGGCGCGGGCGTTGCAGGGAAGCATGGGGGGCGACGCGGGCGGGCCCCGCCTCTGCGTGCAGTAGGCGCGGGTCCGGACGCAGGGAGTCCGTCCGAATGTCCGGGCGCTAATGATGCCGTTATGAATCAGTCAACTGGAGGGTAATCTAACATAACCTTCAATCGAAGAGTGGTAGAATTACATTTTTACCTTTTTCATTTACTAGGTAGCGTGTCCGTGCGTTGCTACGGGACAACTAAATC